TATTTTCCCGGCTTAATGATATGCAAATACATATAAACAAAGACGGCGAATGGCAGCGAGCGGCGTTAATTGCCTTCCCTTTGCTGTTGTTGTTTCTGTTGTTCTTTTGGCTTCCCGCTGGGCTGGCTATTAACATTTAATTAAACGCCTTTTGGCGTCAAAAGACAGAGACAGCGACATAATTACAAGCCAGTTACACACATTTTTCTAAGCGAATTTCTGCTCAAAATTCGTGGGAGGACCCCTTTCACAGGAAATCCCCCCCCCCACTCTGCTTGCATTATTGTTTAATTGCAATTAGTGCCAAGCAGGCAGCGGACTCCAAAATGATAATAACGAGCCGTGTGTCGGTTCATGCATAATGCAAAGGCCGAGCAGGTCCCACACATTGCAATTAAGTCGCCAAAAGCTGGCTGCACTGCAAGAAATCGAACCAGGTGTTTAGTAAAAAGCAGGGTGGGTACATCACTTATCTTATTTACTCTTTTATTTGTTTGCATACTTGAGGAAGTATTTGGTAAACAACTTATTTACCACAAAGTCAACTTAATAAAGTCAAGAAAGGCTATTTATTCAGTGATATTGAGAGTCTCACGTGCATGTACGGAATATATTGCTTAACCTAGTATCCCTAAACTTATTCGATTCTTCACAAACAAAAATATTTCAGACACGAAAGAAATTTTTTCTAAATTTAAAAACAAAGACACCATGAAATCGAAATTTCTAGGATTCATGGCAAATATTTTTTACGCATTTATTTTCAGACTAAGTTTTATTTTTTAAGGTCAGATAAATAATAATAACGGAATTTAAATTATATTCATTTACATACAAACATATTAATAAAGCAATTTTAATGTGTATGCATATACCTAATTCTAAGTTATATTATATCCAACAGTCTTGGGATACCTTAATTTATTTAGCTAGACATAAATATCATCATCATCATAAATATTTTGAAACAAAAATCTAAGGAAAGCAGTTTAATTGAAACCTTCGCCAGACTGAAAATTACGGAGGCCTACTTAGATACCAACCATTAAAAAACAAATATATAAAAAAATAAAATAATTCATAAAATCAATAATGGAATTATAGATGTATGAAAGTATGCATACAATCATTAATAGTCGTCTTTATGTATAAATTAATTGTTATTCTGAGCTTAATATATATGCTTGCCTACTTTTAGAAACCAGAAATGACATTTACAAAAATATAAAAAGATAAAATAATTCAGAAGATCAATAATATAAATTTAGGTGGGTAAAAATATGCAGTAAATAAATAATAATCGTTTTTCTGAATAAATTAATTGTTTTTCTGTCTAAAAGTATGCAGTAAATTAATTACAGTCGTCTTTCTGTATAAATTAATTGTTATTCTGAGCTTAAAATATATTCTTACCTACTTTAAGACACCTAAATTACATTTACAAGTATCTAATATCCAAGTATCTGGTGATCTGTGAAGCACTTCTAGAGAGTGGCTTTTTCTCCCAGTGCACCTCCCATTGTGACTGATTTGGCTGGTGCTTCTGTTGTTGTTGCTGTGTTGCTTTTGGTGCTGCTGTCGAACGGCGTGCTGAAAGTATCTCTTTGGCAGCCAAGTCGAGTCGGGCCTTGAAGTGTGTGTTGGCACTTGAGTTCTCCAGCTGCTACTTCTCGGAGCTCTTGCCTTCCACTTCCACTTCCACCTCCACTTCCAGTTCCACCGCCTCCTCCTCCGCCTTCCTTTTTTGGCCCTCGTTCACTTCTTGGCATGGAGAGTGCCTCAGTCGCCTTGAGAGTGTGTTAGATTATTTTTATGTGTTTTCCTCGGGCCTTCTTTTCGCATGCCTAAGTAGTTAGTTTAATAAATTGCATTGCTTAGGTAAGCGGCGTCGAGAGGCAGTCGCCTGTCTGCAACTTGACTTGAACAACAATTTACGGATTTTCAGCATTTGAATTGCTAAACATTTCAGAAAGTTTCCCCCAAGTTTTCATTGAGAATGAGTTGATTTTTGTTTTGTCCCCCATGGTGTTGTCTACTTGATGAACGAGTTCATTTCGGCTCTTCGTCCACAACAACCACACGTTGCAGTTGATGTTGAATTACCCACAGAAATCACGTATACGCCAAGGTGGCGCAGTAACACCGCGCACAAGGAATTCCAGTTCCCATTGGGAATGGAATGGAGCACACAATGCATCACAATAGTAATTAACAATTTATCAAAAACCCTCGCACACAATTGCAGGAAGAATTTCTGTGTGCTATCCATTTGAAGCAAGGTTAAAGTGAGTGGTCATACATTTTTAAGAACCCACTGAAAGCGAAAAAACCACTTAGCATTCAAGGTGCCAAAATCGAAACGACCAAATTGTGGCAAAACAAAAGAAACTACCCACGACGAAGCCAAGTTAAATAGTTTTAAATCATGCAAGCGACGACCCCAGAGACAACAATGGTGGCCGGAGAAATCAAATGTCAACTTAATGCAAGGACAACTGCAGCTGGAGAAGTTCTAACCGACGCCCAAGGCCAAATTGATCAGGCCCGAGAGCCAGCGAGCTAGTGAAACTGGGTCAACACACCGCACAAATAAGTTGCCAGTAACTCACCCACACAGCGAAACAGCCACACACACACACCCACGCACACACTCGCAAGCAGTCCCGATGCGCCCAGAAGTATGCACACTATTTCAGCTCGATGCCAGCGTCCTTCAAGGAATTGTTCGGGCTCATACTTCATTCAATTAATTCGAATTTCGGTTTCAATTATGCCTGATTTGCGCTCAAGGCTTAGAGTTCTTTAACAATTATGTGTTTGAACTGTTTGCGACCACAGATTTAAACATTGCGTTCCATTAGAGACACTCAATAATGGGTCTTCATTGAATAAGTCGTTTGACTTATTTCCGTAATTTAGTCATCTATTAATACATCTTCATCAATCGCAGACAGTCCATTGTGGTATTAGACTTGCAACTATTTTGCTTTAAATTAGTTAGCTTTGGAAACAGTTTTAAGTTGTATAAATATATCATTTAGAACAATTTCTTATATATAAAACTAAAATTATTATGAAGCCATAAGGGGCTTGGGCCGCTTTAGGCTTTAGTTTTCCAGAAATATCTTAATTAGAATCATTTTAATATAGTCTTATTAATTTTAGCACTTATTATAAAATGTTACTTAACATACTTTTCTATTTCCTCTAGCATTATTTTGTTTTCAAGTAAAGGTTAAACTTTTAAATTATATATTATTAAAATTAAATGTATCTTTGTTGTTAGTACTTAAGCATATTTATATTGCAACAAAGAAATATATAGAGTGAAATAATATAATTTTGAGGTGATCTTATAAATGTCAGCATTAATAACATATTTGGTTTAATACATTTTTCAATTATATATTTTGGTAGGATGAAATTAAGATCAATAGAAAGCTTTTATATTTTTCGGAGCCGTCAGAGCTGGTACTTTCGCCTGTCTAGTATGAAATGCACTCGGTTAGCAGCTTAGTTGCTTATTAGTGTCACTTGTCGGCAGAACAAAGGACATTGTGGGCCGAGTCCTTTGTTGCTACCCACTTGCAACCCATAACGCCACATCAGGTCGCATTCCCACTGCCTGTGCCCTGCATATTAATGCTCATGTAATAAACACAATCGTTCACCTTGACAGCCTGTGGGTTTGGTCAGTTCGTCAGTGGTCAGCGGTCAGTTCCAAGTGGTTGCTCGGCTATGCCAAATTCATGGGCTGCTCCTGCTGCAGCTCCTGCTACTGCTTTTCATTGTGATTCTGCTCCTCTGCCGATTGCATAATTTAAACGCAATTCCGACATGGATTCGATTGCCACCATGAATGCGAACAGCTTGGAACCAAGCCAAAAACCACCGAGGCACTGGAGCATTGGAGCACCTGGAAACTGGAGGCCGTAGGTCCGAGAAGCGATGCATTCATGAATGAGTTGACACACTGTTGGGCTCAAATTTTGCGGCTGGCCTGTCAATATTTGTCCCCTGGCCCAACTGGTCACACCTCTTGTTGCTGCCTTTTCGCCTAATGGCGTGCAAATAGTTTTCACAATTGAGTTGTCAATTTATCAGCGCTCTTGGGATACGAAACTCGGTAGCTCTTCCTCGGTCCTCGTGAATTCCCCAAAACTTTTGCGCTCATCTCAAATATTTGCCATTGCCCATTTTACGGTTTGTTTTAACACAATGTACACGGGCTCCAGGACACTTCCTCCGGATCCACCTGTTCCACCTCACATTCTCCTCTGCGGAGCATCTCTTACACAGTGGCACTTAATGACATTTTATGGCTGCCACCTAGGCCAGTCCAAGACCAGGGAATTGCGGAGGAGGCAGGCCAAATTGTGTGGGAGCCAAAGCCATTTGCCGGAGGCCATAGAAGCAACTATGTAAGAGCACTTGAATGGAAATATAATACAAGGTATATGAGCCCACACTATCATAAGTGTGCCTTATCTTATTTACAGTCAATAATTATAATACCTAAGTTACAGGGGGCAATTTAAAAGGAATGGTTAATAAGTACTATTATAGACAATTAACTAAGAAAACCAATTTTGGGTAGTCATTTTTTAGAAGCAGTCGTTAATAACCATGCCAATAACAGAGCATTTACTACTCCAGTTTAGTAGCTCTCATTGGCACATTAAATCCCTTTCCGCCCCACGCACAACTACAGTTCTGACCAAAAGCGAAAAGTCGTTTCATTTAGTGTTCCGAAATGGTTTCAACCAATTAACTTTCGGCCAAAAGGGCATCACGCTGCCGAAGTACATGCCATTTTTTTAATGACTTTTCCGGTAATGAGCCGCTCTGCCCAACTGCCAATAAGTGAGCTCGGTTATTAGTTTAATTTGGCAGAAAGCGCCATAAATCAGTGGCAAATATGATGCCGCCACTTGATTGCAACACGTTTTTCACTTCCCCTCTCTGATTGGTTTTTCGTTTCCTCTTATTTTATTTTGCAGAAAGCTGTCAAGGACCTCATGAAAAGCGCCTGCTGAACCACCTGCTCTCCACATACAACACGCTGGAGCGACCGGTCGCCAACGAATCGGAGCCCCTGGAGGTCAAATTTGGACTGACGCTGCAGCAGATCATCGACGTGGTAAGTGGTCGCCGGGGATCCGCAATCCTCTTGGCCAGGCTAACATTTTCGAAAGCATCAAAGCAAATAACCCAGAAAAACTGTGAATAATCAGAAGCGTTCGCATGGGGCTCAGTCTCCATTCGCTGTCGGATAATCTTCCGAAACGAATCGAATCGAATCGAATCGAATCTAAACAGAATTGAATTGTCGATGCATAAGACTAATGTAACGTGAGCAGGCTATAAATTAACAATTATTGATTGCGTCTCTTATAGGATGAAAAGAATCAGATTCTGACCACAAATGCGTGGTTAAATTTGGTAAGTGACATGTACCCGTCGTTTTTGTGTCAACATCACAACAATATAATTCTTAGGCTTGTTTTTCATTTCGATCGACTGTGTTTTTCGTTTCTATTTCGAGGCTTCCGTTTTGTCACGCGAAAAGCGACAAATTTTTAATATATATGTATATGTAACTTGTACCACCACCAAAACCACAAATTTCTTTTCATTTCGTTTACTCAGAGTTTGTTTTTTGCCATTCAATAATTATTGCCCCCCGGGGGCTTCTTTTATCAATAAATAAATACATATTTGCGTTTGCATATGTGTTGTCTCAATATGTCTGTGTGTGTGTGTGAGTGTGTGTGTGTGTGAGCGCGTGTGAGCTTGTGTGTGTGAGTGCCTGTACAATTTTACGTTTGTTTGTTCTTTTGACAGTTTATTTTGAAAGCAAGCGACGTCTGTTGATTACCGTTTAAACACATTTCAATTAAAAGGACGTTAAAAACATACATATACCAAATGCAACTACAGCACAATTTAAAACCAATTATAAAGAATTAATGTTCATAATTAACTGAGAATGCTTTGATGATGATTTAGAGCCGAGCTGCCTAGGATTTCTCTATTATTTTACCTGGCATTTGTATCAGAATCATGATATTATCTCTGGAAGATGCAGAATTGCTCTGGGTAGGCGAACCTTTTCGGCTAATCCCATCGCCTAACATCTAAAACTTTTGATTTACACAAATTTCACCTGGAATGGACGTGATGGCGGGCAAAATAGCCTTCTGCTGGACAAGGGATGCTCGAAATGGCATTGCTAAATTGGCAGAAATTGCCGGGCATACCATAAACATAAACAAATAAATCAAAACAAAGGACCCAAAGGGACATAAATAAAATTTATATTTTTCTGAAGCGACAGCCATTTTTTCCACGCGTTGTTTGTGCCCGGCCTCACCTGAAAACACCAAAGTTGCAATCGTTCCGGTCACTCTCGACCCGGAACCGTAGAGCGAAAACCATCGAGCTGCAGACAGGACAGGAAAACCCTTTTCAAAAAAATTAATAGCCCCTCCAACCAGTGACCAGAGGCAGATTTATGATTGCCCGTCAATTTTCAATTCCCGTAAAAAAGAACCACCTTTTTCCTAACAACTTTTGAATCCAACTAATTGTCGTTCCAATTTGAAAAAAAGATAGGATGCCTGGTTTAAACTACATAAATATATTTTCAATTGATTGGCTCTAATGAAAACAGTTTTGGTGGATCAGCCACGTAGTTAGTTTTGTTTTGTCGTGTTTGGCTTTGTGTGATTTACATTTTGTTATAATTATTTTGTAATTTTTTTATGCATTCTGTTTTTTTCCTGACTGTGCAAACGTGAAATGAAAACATTTTTCATATTATTCCCCGGAAACATGCGGCGTGCCGTGTGAATAAATGTGCTTAGTCGGGAAATTATATTCGTGATACAATGTCCGATGGCCACAGTTGCCGTTGATAACCCTCCGTAATCACCCTATTTAAATCGCTGCTCTCCACTGGGGAATGGGTAATTACAGTCAAGCGCCAAAGGAACCCCAAACATATTTAGTTTAAAATCAAATATTTAGTGCTACAACCCATTTAAAGTTAGAATAAATAGTTGCAATTTAGGTGAATACATTTGAAATAGCATACCGTTGTTTCCCTCCCACAGCCCAAAGAAATATAACCTTCGACCCAAATTAGTATGCTCCATTAAGTGCATTAATCGATTGACAAAATGATTTACAAGACTATTACCGTTAGCCACCCCACCACCCGATTATTCCAATTCCAATTATGTTTTACCTGCATTTAAATTCCCGTCGTTGTGCGTGTGTGATTGTTGTGTGTTGTGTGTGCTGCAGTGAGAGATAGTGTGTACATGTATTCTTTACGGATTATGTTCGATATTCGTATACTTACCATATATTTTTGCTGGGTACATGTCATAAAGCGTTCTCTGATTATACATATCTGAGTAAAAGGCAAAAGCTACAATTAAAACGCAACCAAAAACAAAACAAGCAACAAACAACTAAAGTCGTGTCTTGCATGTTGTTTAAACGAAGTGCATTTAAAAACGTGAAAGATAAACTTAAAATTCCAAGTCGGTGTTTTCTTTGTATCTATATCTATACGTATATAAATATATATATATATATACTGCCATTTAAATGTATCTGCATATTGCGCAACACAACTAACAACCTAAACAGCCAAACCTACTAAAAACCAAAAGATATCGATGAAGTTATGGCCTTAATGTGCTTGCCCTGCCCCTTGTCTCGCCCACAGCCTCACGAATAAATTATACAATTAAAGCCAGGACATCTATGCGCTCGCAAATCAAATGCATTTTAATTTACACGATTAAATATGTATGAAATAATTTGATTTATGCACTCGCCCATCGGACAGATGGATTGCCAGGGAGGGGGATCAAAAATCAGAAGGGGGGCAAATGGAAACCGCAACGCGTTGATTTCCAGTGGCATAAATTATAAATCGATCCGAATGGAGATTTATGATTCCACGAGCCCTGACATTTTCAGCGGCTCCTGGTCACAGTTTGGTCAATTACTCAAATTGCACCAACTAATAATGAATGCCCTTCGAAAATTCCCTCTGATGATGGGGATTACCGGAGCACCGACAATTGGCAAAGTTTCGCAATATTGCCATCAAGGATATGGGCCACCACGTGGTCGTGGCTAACCAAAGGTTACTCCTTCAGCATTTCTTCCTGCTTTACATCCTACTGATTGCCCTTTAGATGGTCGTGATGATGATGATGATGATGGCCCGTCATGTCAGCCCGTTGCAAGTTGCAACCGAATGCCATTGAGTTGGAGGAGCAGTGGCGGGAACAGGACGAGGTCGGGTCAGGTCGAAGGCTCCTTTGGCACGACATTAAAATGCACATTGTGGTCCGGGCGTCATCAGCATCAAAGTTAAGAAAAATAAAGTCATTAGCATTTTTCGGCTAACACCATAGCACCATTTTAGCCCCACTCGTCGTAACCTCTCGTCTAATGACTTGCCAGGTTGCAGCCACCACAAAGCCCCCTAAATGACTGGGGCTTTAGAAATATGTGTCAAAAGGAAATGGCCAAAGGCCACACTCCCCCCACTTTCTCTTTCTCTCACTAAACGCTTTCCCAGCCGCCCAAAAAACGGATGAAAACATTGCAAATTTCCGAGGGTGTGAAGCGAACATGCTTTGATGGTGTTTAATCTGTTGTTAGGGGGTGTGGCCCAAGCTGAAAGTCAGAAATCGGAATCTAATGCAGATTATTTAGCAATCTGTTTTTCGTTTTTCTAAGTTTCTGTCAAAGGAAACATAAAGCTGATAGCAGGGAAAAAAATGAAGATTAATTCGGCGATTGAATTTCAAAGTTTGCCTCATTAAGACCCAAAGAAAAGCCATCTAGACTGGTGTGTCCGCAAAAAAGTGATTGTTAGAGTTTTTTAATAACACATTTTTAATAAATTAGTTCTGATTTTGGAATCCCAATCAAGAATGTTAATAAATTGACAGAAATATTTGGAAATGTAGAGTTTGTTTTCTTGGATGGATTTTCATAGCATACTTATTAGCGCAACCTAAATGTAGAGTTCTTGATCTTGCAAAATCATTTTAGAGACTTTCTTTAGAAAGGCAATAAATTTAAAGTCCCATAATATTCGATATAAATCAGCCATTATAAACGTAGTCAACGACTTTGACTTTCAAGGGCAGAGATTAAAAGTTGAGGTGGTGTCGAATCTATTAGCGTTAACCATTGATACTTGGCAAGCACGCCTTGAATCCATTATAAACACACTTTCGCCCAAATTATGGCCCGCTAACACCAGCCAGAGTTTGACAAAGTCATTTGGCAGCGTTGAGCAAAGTGGCTCCTTCACTTATCATCCACTCATTTGTCTCGCCTCAAACACACACACTTGAGTCCTGCCAAGGCCAACAAACTTCGTCCTTGAAAGACTGGTGTTAGTCTACTCTCGTTTTTGGCCCATGTGCATAACCCATTTGTATGGCAAACAGCAGCAACAAAGTTTGCCAAGAACATTCATTCATCACGGGAGTTCGACTACAAAGGGGTCCGGGGATCCCCAGATCGAGTGCCCCGAAATCTGTAATCTGGATGGCTGTTACTACAGACGACAACGGCAATTGTTGGCTCATTAGAAACTCATTTAAAAACAATTTGGCACGTTAATGCAAAATAAATCTATAAGCTTATGCAGCAGGAGAGCAGTACCAGAGTACCAGTGTATGTACATCTATATGTATCTGTTTCTGGGAAAGCGACTTTGTCACGATTAAGCGAAAGCTTAATGCAGATGCGAGGTCTGCTGCAAATGGTGCTTTAAGTTTTTTCGCCCCAAAAGACGGTGGCACAAGTGTCATTAGTATGCGTCAATGTCAGGGGCTCACGTCCCCGTACCGCATCCTGTCTGTCATAAACATGAAATTTGCACAAAACCGCCATTTTTATAAGGTGTCAACAGCAAAAATATCAAACCCACACACATATGTGCGTACCTACCAATCCCCACCGCATATTCAAATGTTGCTGTGTTGTGGGATTTGACGTGAGAGGGAAATGGCTGCAGATTGGCTTAAATGCTGGGAGCCGGGAGCCCTTCGCCTTTGGGGGTAAAATGGGAAATCGCGAGCAGAAATCATCCAGGTCACCAGAGCAAACTCGTGTCCAAGGATTCTGTGGTATGCTGCCCCGCCCTGCATATCATTAGATCCCCTTTCGGTCACGAATCTGGTTTTTTTTAATGGCTCAAGTCGTTATTGCAGCTGCTGCCAAACTCCCCCGCATTCCCTGGTGTTTTTCCCCATTTTTTTTTTCGGGGGTCTGCGGTTTTTGTTTCTCTGCGGCTGTGTGATGTAACCATTTTGGTTGTTTACCCCGACAAGTTATTAATGACAGTCACCTTAGAGGGGCTTTCACATGCAGATCTGCCGGATTCGGTGAGTCGTTCATCTGCATTTCAAACGGCATCCGTTGAAGGCCACCTTGAACAACCAACATCCGGTGGTGTGGGTGACTGGGATCGGGATGGACTGGACTGGATAGTTGGCGGTTGAGTGACTGACAGTGCGCCAGCATGAAATATCTTTAATTAAAATTTTGTATAAAGATAAATGGGTTTTGATACCTAGTTCAAAGTTTTTATTGCCAGGCATCAGGGATGAAGACTAGATATATGTATTTCCGTATATATTCCGCAAAGAGGGCGGCGGGATTGTAAAGTAAATTGGCGCAATGGACAAAGGATCTGAAGGCCCACCAGCAGATTAAAATTCGGTTCGGATTGAGATTAGGTTTCAAGGCGAGCAGCTCAAAGCCGCTCTGGGCCAACAAAGTTTTTGATAGCATTTCATTCGGCTTCCTTCTTGGTCTCTGGCCAAATTGAGTGATGATGGGAGATGAGACAAGTTAATTGCAACAGCCCCAAAGAGAACGATAAATGTTCTTACTTACTGGCACTTTAAGAACCCCTGAAGCTTAAGCAAAGTTAAAAGCAGGCTGCAACACATTAATGCCACACTTCATCGCCTGCAGAGCTAGTGGAGACTAAACTAAGACACCAAAAAATCGTATTCATAAACGTCATAAAAACAGATGCTATAAATAAAATAAAAACTAGACAAACAGCTCAAAAAGAAAAGAAAAAAAACAAAACCTTATAAAACTCATAAAACCAATGTATAAACCAAAACTTTCTTTTATCATGCTCTGCTCTTTTTAAACTTTTGACTTAAATTAACTTTTTGGCTTTCCTTTCGTCTTACTTACTATTACTTTCCATTGTTGGTCTTGCGTTGAACTTGATTTTCTTGTGTTCTTTGGCGTTAACAACAAAACAACCAAAATTCGTTCCAAATGCGTTTGTAGGACGAGAAGAATCAGCTTCTCATAACGAATCTTTGGCTTTCGTTGGTAAGTCTTAACTAAAACTCGCCATCATAAATCATAAACCTAAACCCCAAGTTAAATACTTACTTATAGCTTAAACCGTATTTTAAATAATGTGTAATCGCTTTAAACCTATTTAATCATAAATCGAACATCAAGGACTCTTTCTGGCCCCGTCCAGCAGAAAGTATTATAGATATTCAATCTGCCGAATGCATATTCTTCTAGTTAGTAGTGCTGAATGTTGGACTCGGTCCGGAAAGAGTCTGTACTGATTATAATTTAAACACACACGGCCCCAGCCTGAAGTACCAAGAGTTAATCGAGTTTTCGTAGCCGTTTAAAAGTTTCATCTGAATTCCTGCTCCCCAAAGCTCTGTTGTAAAAATCGCTTCGTGTAACAACTATCTTTCCGACTCTTTCTGTCTTTTTCCTTCTATCTCTCGTTGAGATTGTGTTGGCTTAGTTCGTGTGTGCGTTAAATTATTTAAACATCATCACTTAAATAAGTACTATTAAATACAAGCTTAAATACTGTAATAAATCGCTTATTTAAATACAAACCCACATACTCACAGACACAGCTAAATAAACTTTGATTTCCGCTATTTCCTTTTATTCTCTTTGAATTTATAACTTTTCTACATAGAGATCTACAATGGCAACTAGTTTTTTTTACAGCGAATAACATTTCTTGACATTTTTATTTAGAACTCGGTGCGAGTTAGTTTCGGTTTCTTTTCTACTAAGAGCAACTAAAAATCGAACACATAAATCGAAACGACCAAAAAAACATAACTCTAAACAGAACCCCTAACCCAGCACAAAAAACACGCGACATTTGCATGCCACGAGATCGCATCGTGTAATAGGCCCTTCTGTGTTTGTTCGTCCTGCATGCCATGTTGCATTTACTTTTTTGTGAGATTGTTATGCGAGTGCTTATCATTTGTGTGAGAGAATAATAAAAAAAAGTTAATATATGTATGCACGGACATCAGGCAGCGGAAATAAAATGGGGATACTATCGCCGTTTTTTTTTCGTACTTTTACACTCACTTCAAGTCCTGTCAATTTGCGAAATTAATTAAATTATATATTTAACACGTAGAGTGCACACAGCTGGTCACTCTATCCCGGGATAAACTGATCGAACGAAGTCTATAAATATGAGTAATTTCGCAATTGCAATCAAACACAAACTACACATAAAAGGCCGCATCTGGACTAGTGCAAAATACACTATTTATGATTGATGGCCGGACCGAGTGAGGCGTTTATAAACTGTCGCTATTCGCTATTCCCCCAAATGGTGTACAAATGTTTGTCAATTTGCCACTAGCGACCGCAGACAAGCTGCTGGAATTCCAAATGCCACTCCTTCCAGCTGTCGATGGTGCCAGTCAACCGATTGTTGTTCTGCTCGACGGCCCAATTATGCCGTCAAATAGCAATTAAAACCGGCAATGAACGCAAGAGCAACACGAGACAAAACGCGGCCAGAAAATTCCAAAAAAATCGATTACTACGGGACTCTACCTCATATGGGAACTAAATCGAATTTTAAGCTTCACCTTGGGAAATGTATAGATATAAATTAAAATCAGTTATTATTACAGTACTTACTAGATAGAACAATTAAAAACATTTTTATAAAAGCAAACATATCATAACATAACTATATTCAAAAGATTTCTTAGGACAGAAGCAGTTTAAAAATAGTTTTCGAAATACCGATATTTGTAACATATCCTAAAAATCTATTTATTTTATTAAAATTTTTATAAAATTTTGTATTTTGCCGAGAGCAGATGGGATCTATGTAGATCCTAACGTTTAGCCACGCACCACTAAATGTGTGAGATTCGCGGTGACTATTCCGCAAAATAATTGCCACACTCGCATCAAAATCTGTGTCCTTCCGCCGGCGCACAAAGCGGTGAAATGTTATTAGAAGCATGGAGCATGGAGCGTTCGGCACACCTCCAAATGGGATCCCTGGAAACGAGGCATCTGTTTTTACAGCTGTCATAAAAACCGCACACAATAACGGACGGCAGTGGGAAAAGTTTAAACAGATTTAAAGCAGGCCCGGCACAGATGCAGATACTATAGTACATGGGATAACACTCGTATAATTTAATGCAGCACGGGCCATGGCATGTAATTAAATTTTTTGTGATTTAAAAAGGGGATTGTATTGTAGTGCGACAGAGGCGGAGCTCAAAGGGGGGTCGGCTAGGACAATTGCTTGCTCTAAAAATGCCACAAATGTGTTAAATTATAAACATAACAGCGGCAACAACAGCAATAGAGCGAACATGAGCCCCGCAAAGGCGAAACTAAGTAGAGGGGAAACTTTGCCGCTTTTATGACACGAACGTGAACCACTTGTAGGAAAGCCACAAAACGCAACGACCAGGGGGAAATTCAGGACAGAATGGTGGGACAGAATCGCGTTGCAGGCAACCACAGAGTGACACAAAGCACTGAGCAACTGTTTGACTGCACTGGAAAAAATACATGATTTCAATAGCTAAAATCAGTCTTTATATAGTTAAAATCGATTAGAAAGTGTAATTTTCATAAAGTCTTAAATAATCCCTAAGGTTTGATTTTTAAAAACAATTTTAAAGTGTAAGTTATGTTTGCTTAAAAATATTTCTACAATTAAAATATTCCCTAAGTACAATATAATCATCCCGAAACTCTAGAATTAAAATCTTTAAAGGTTTTTGAAAGAAAACAAATATCAATTAAGAGAAAAAGTAATTTAATTTAAAGCCTACAGAAGTTGCTTGTAACTTTTTCTCGAATAAATAATAGTTCAATTCTTAAACTTATGCCCTCATACTTTGTTTTAATTGGTTTAAAATTAGAAGAAAATTATCCAATATTTTTGATCCACGAACTTTAGGAGATAGAAACCTTTTGAAGAAAATACTTAATCCTTTATTTCTCGCCGTGTACCAACAAACAGGATCAGAAAAGAGCAAACGAGGAACGTTGATAAAACTTGTCTCATGTGCGGTTCCGTTGACCCGCAAAGGGGAGGGGCTGGGGGTTTGACTTAGCCTGAAATTGTTGTCAAGTTGCACATTGTTGTATAATGCAGCCAGCAACTGTGTATCTGTGTGCGTGCCCCGTGTGTGTGTGTGTTTGTGCTGGCATGCTTAAGCGCAACAGCTTGCCAATCAGTTAGCAGAAAGAGATGGAGCGAGTTGGCCATCTTTCGGTCTTAGCCTAGTCCTAGTGCGTAATGGTAGTGGTAGTTGGTAGTTGGTACGTGCATGTGTGTCTGTGCATGTGCTCAGCAGTTGAGTAGATTTCATTTCGGAGTCCTTACTTTCATTCCAACTTTCTTTTCCCCCAAAGAATATAACCATACAAATCTGATTTCTTTTCCAAACTTCATGTCGCATTTTTGTTTGAATTTTTAGTCGATTCATTTGAAAGTAATACATATATTGAAAAACCACTCTTGACCAGTGCAATTTTTATGAAAACTAATACAAAATACAAATGCAGGAGTGGAACGACTACAATCTGCGCTGGAACGAGACGGAGTATGGCGGGGTCAAGGACCTCCGAATCACGCCCAACAAGCTGTGGAAACCCGACGTGCTCATGTACAACAGGTAAGTGATCTGTGTCCACTCCGGCCGGACTCGAGATAACCCTAACCGAATAGAAAGGCTATCGTAGCCCCCCATGAATCCAAAGAAACTAATCTGAGAATCAGTATAAAGTGTTTGCGCAATACATAACCAGCCACATAGAGCAGACTTAAGTCTAGGCATAGGATCGTATAACTCACTATATATAACCAAATTTCACTGTATTACTTGAACAATGGTAAGTTAGGCTGACCAAAAGAAGAACCACAACCATCCAAGTCGATTCTTAGGATGAAGACCCCAAAGCAATGTGTTATCGTTTCGTTTTGTGTTCAGTTCTAGTTATAGTTAAAACTAGCATTTACGAGTATAATTACGTAGTAGAATTGTGCACTTTAGTTTATTTAAATTAGATTTATAGCTAACCATTAGAGATCCGGAAACTTGAAGGGTCTGCTGAACTGGTTTCCCAATGGAATTACGACCATTCGGAAATATAACTATCAACAAACCCAGTAAAGTTAATTGTTTGCCCTCCCTTAGTTTATGATATTGTTTGTACGGTTCGATTTGAGTTGGTTTTTAAATTGAAAACGATAATCCCCAGCATATTTGATATGTTTGCATACACTTTAGTTATGTATGACTTCATATCCATTCCCATAATTATATAGCTATTATTATAAACGCATCATAATCCACTCGCTATTGTTTGTGTGTCTATTTATAATCAGTAAAAAATAAACAAAAACGAAAATCGAAACCAGCCGCAAGTCAAACATACAATAATGTTTTTGATTCGGTGGCTAAATCGACTTTTCCTACCCGTACATTATGATATTTGTGTTTCAGTGTTATCCACTTATGATTTGCTTTCAATGTTTACGTTTCGAAAAGTGACTTAACCAAAATAAGGAAAACAAACAAAAAAAAAAGAAAAAAACAGAATAATTTACATTTGTTTACTTCAATAAGAGTAGTTTACACGCAGTGGTTGTCTAGTGGGACTGTACATTGTCAGCTTGCCGTTGATGTGGGCCTCACATTGTAATTGGATTCGTAATGCTAACCGAACGTTGTATAAAACATGAAATGCCTGAGTTATCCAGCATTAACTAAACCAAACATCAAGCCGTAAAGGCGAACTAAAACTAAACCAAAGACGAAGTAACCGCAAAACAAGCTAAATAATCGCCCAGACTAAACTCCAAACAACTTAAACTTTGTTTAACCAGAATATTGCGCAAGTATTTTGTTCGAAACAGCACGGGTCAAATTCCTCGAGGAAAAGTAAATCGAGGACAGCGGTCTGTGGTCTGCTTCCCAGTCAAAGACTCACACCTAGACTTCACCTTAACTTGCGACCAAGTCAAAGTCCTCTCGCTCCATTTCCGAAAGACAATAACCTCCTTAGAGATTGTTCAACAATATGCTGGTGTAATATTTCTGGTTAGACGTTCAGTACTTGAATTTATTTGGCCGACAACAAACAGTAAAGAAATAATTAAAACATAAAATGGAAAAATGTTTTTTGTCATACTCATACGTAGCTTGCAAAAAACAAAACAAGAAACCATCCAGACAATCACAAAAAAGGCAAAATAGATTTTCAAGTATTGTGCATGAGAAATCAAATCCCTCTTACTAAACAAAAGACTAAATAAAACCGCATAAAAATAATACCAAATGCAAAAAATATATATATTTAACATAAATCCCCCACCTCATCCCACAAATAAAAAAGCTGATCCAAAAAGGACTTTCACTTTACCACCCAAGCCACCCACTAACTAACCCACATTCCATATACATACACACACAAAACACCTCACAACAAACACGATTAAATTAAATGTATTAACCACATGTTAAAAATATCTAAATAGAGAATCCATCCCATATTAATATAAGCTAAAAACATTATACTAAATCAAAATCTTGGCTAGGCTAGCTAAGCAAACCCATCAAGTTAATATTAAACCAATGCACCATCAGATATTTTCCACCACATCTGAATATTATATACTGAATATTGATCGTCCCATCTCAGCATTAAAAACTAACAAAAATCACGACATGTCACAAAACATGCGTAACCCAAAAATAATTACTATAAACCAAAAATTCTCGGCTGACCGAGAGACTGATGAACTTTCATTTAAAGTAGTAAATAAAACTGTCTGTTTTATATCGATTAATCTGTATAGAACTTTTATACATTTTTCTATCAACTTTTATTAGAGAAACTGTAGGGAACTTTGCCTTTTAAGCCGTTTGCCAACATTCCGCTAAGAGTGAACAATTTTCCTGTGGATTAAAGAAGGTTTGTCAAAAACGTTGTCCGTTTCCATGAACTGAACATTTTAAGATACAATTTAATATTCTACAAGCAAATCAGCAATCTAAAACTCGAGTAAGCAAAATACTACTACTGCTACTATATTTTGGAAGTATCATCTCTACATGTTTTATAATCCTTAAAGCACATATCTAAAAGAACGCCAAACAGACCATACCTGAACAAATTTATTATCGAATCGCTTTCACTAAATGTTAGTCTATATGTCCAACTAGTTAGTCTAGAAGTATGATTGTGTGTGTGCGGCCAAACCAAACATCAGTGGTAATTATGTTCATAGCCATGCATTCATCATACGCCCCGTAAGCCGTTGCGAAAACATTTCAACAACATGGCGAACAACAATTGCGAAGGGAGTACAAATTGGAAATGTTTTTGGGGTCCTAACGAGTGTTAGATGCCCGTATCCCCAGTCATTCACTCATTGAAGTGCCTTGAATAATTGCCATTTCATTTCTCATTTCGCAAATTCGCCATTTTCCATTTACTATTCGCTTTTAAAATGCCCGCTTCGGCGAGTGTGTGTGTGTGTGGGCTAGAGTGTGCCGGAGTGTGTGTGCTTTGCAATCACCAAAGTAATCAATTGTTATCGGTGTGTGCTATATATCGTTCATTCTAGCTATTTGTTCACTGTGTTCCTAAACAATAATAAATAATAATAAGCTCATGTTTCTCCGTTCTTGCTCGGTGTCCAGTTATAACCATCTCTATATACCCAACCCCTACTATTGCTGTTTACTTACCACCCATAACTATATATCTGTGTTTAACCGTCTAACTACCCAACTATATGCCAATATTTATATCTATAACTACATATACATATATATTTTAACGTCTGTGTGTGTGCGTGTGCATCGATGTGTTAAGAGAAAGGCATCGAGGAATCATTTGCCATAGCCATTAAGTCTGCGTAAGTTAGCCTAAGTATCTGAGTAAGCTCCAAGCAGATTGCATGCACCCAGAGGTCGTAGGGTACACATAAGATAGCCACAAAACCAGAGACACCTAATGAAGCAGCTGTGGCTGCAGATGATGATTGCGGTGCTACTTTGTCCAGAGAAATATCACCTCAAAGGAATAACTCTATTTCTCTAAATTTATATCTCATCCAGCGTTTTTCCACCAACGGAATTTTCCGACAAAAAGCGTCATATGCGGGCAAAAAGGGTTTCCATCTCCACCATTTGCCTGCTCGTGGCCAAAAACTTCATTATGATATTTCCATTTTTTTCCTTTCTGCATTCTGCATTCCCCGAATGCGATTGCAACGAATCCTTTTTGGGCAGAAGGGGGCTGGCCAAAGAAAAAACCTAGAGTGAGCTAAACAAATCCGTGTCCACCCAGGGGAGCTTAAACATTTTAAGCCATAACTTAAACGTCAAAATTTGTTGCCGCATCCCCGTGGCCATTGCCAGGTGGCGACTAAAAACAACTTAAATGCCACAAATCCCACGAGGCGCAAAAACTGTGAAGTGAAAACTGAAAGCGGTGGAAAAAAACCCCAGAAACATACACGCATTTAGTTCGGCTCGAAACTTGGCTCACAAATGAAGACAAACTACTGCGGAGACTTCGGGGCGGGATATAAATGCACCTGGCGGATGGGGTGCAGGTGCATTTGCAGAACTAATTGCAATTTATATTTGCCACTGCAGCCGAGGACCAGGACAAAGCTTATTTAACCTAATGGGGTAGCCGGGTCACATGGTCACACACGGTTTACGCTTGATTGACGCACGGGGCATGTCCTCTGGGCTGGACCCCAGGATCCAAATGGAATTTACATGTCACCCGAGAGCCGGGAAAACGAAAAAAAAAGAACCGAGAACAATGAATCAAAACACGTACGCTGTGCAGGTTTAATTTCCATGGCACGCAGCATCCGGCGTTGATTTCGCAGGAAAAGGCATCGAAAAGGTGGCAGAGGAGGCCAAGACAAAGACCAAATACCAAAAACCGAGACAAAGGACGAGGCCTACGCGAAAATGGCTGGAAATAAAAATCATATTGATTAGCTGGCTAGTCAGGGATAGTCAGGGGAAATCAGTGGATTCAACCATTGGGCGTGGCCCTTGGAAAACCTTTTGGCTGTCAACTTTGTTTGCTAATGAACTTGCTCAGAGTCCAGGATTCGTGTCCTCCGACAAAGGAGCCAAGTCAAACAGTTCCAGTTCGCCATTTCATTTCGCAGGCATTTTGCAAAGGATTCGACAAGTCCACGTTTCGTTTGGGGAAACATTGCCCTTTGCCAACTTTTACTTCGTTTAATTTATTAATTCTTCTGCCTCACATTGGGACCTAATTTGTATGCGTCGCCAGCGTTGCTAATGTGCGGCCATCATTTAGATCAATAGCAAGGCATTCACAGACACGGATCCGGAAACGAGGATGGGGATAAGATAGGGATACACAAAAACTTCAAGATGGAGATACATGGCTGGAGATTGGCCTTGCCTCATTACGAAGCCTCTTTCTGCGAATCAATCGACTACATCTCCCCTTTTTGTGTGTCATTTACTTATGCTGATTTCAGCCGTTGATTGCGATTCCTTTCAAAACGACTTAATTGAGATGCCGGACCTTAAACCACCAATGCCAGCCGGTTCGCAGTGAAAAGCTTTCACTGTAATTGCAACATTATCTGTATTTTTCAAAGCTTCAGAAGTCGCACCGAAGTTGCGAGGAAGCCGCAGCCGAAGGGCCGACCCAAAAATGAATCTGACAGCGGTGTCGGCTAAGTCGTGCCCCAAAAACCAACCGTCAATATTAATAAGGCCCTGGACCTAAAGAGAATTCAGCACCAAAACCAAGGCCGGAAAAAATATGCAGGCGAACATTTCACTTTTCGAAATTAAAATGATTTTAAATGCGGGCAAGGTGATAAAGGTCGGCCCAAAGGGATTGACGTGCCAATTAGGGTCGAACATTCGAATGTGTTGAAAAATATTGGCTAGACTACCATCACCTTTCTGCCACATCAATTAACTGAATTGCAGCACAATAGCCACATATATTTGTATATACTGAGCCTGCCCCCCAACCGCAATCTCTTAAGCCCAAGTGGACCACATCTGCGCTACGGTTTCGGCTTGACCTGCCGCTAATCAGGGCACAAATTCCCCTTAAATGCCACAGCAGTTTCATGTAAGCCTCGTTACCAGGGGAAACACGCCCCAACGCCCTCGAAATACCCACCCACATCCATATGGAGAGACCCACATCCCCTATCTGTCACCCCGCATCTGACTACCATGAATCCCCATGTCATTGCCTCTTTGCGGTGACCGAAAAATGCAAAACAAAATTGTCCACAAAATGTTTACGCAACATTCTCGGTACTCGAGTTGGAATCAGAGCCGTAATTGCATTTTATTGCAGCATTCGAGGGCAGCAGCAAAGTCAAGAGATACTCATACATAATGCACGCAAATATATATATATTCACTGATGGGTTTATATGTACATAGTGTGCTTTGCCCACATTTTTGGAGTAGCTGCCGAGGTTCATTTGCATATGCGCATATTGGTAGTGCCACTGGATGACTGGCTGCAAAGATACAAAAATACATGGCTGCAAAGATATTTGTATCTGTCCAACCGCAGATTCCCATTGGCAATTCGAGGGTTTAGTCACGAGTGCGAGGCAATGGAAATTCCGTTGGGGTCCCCAGACGCTGGTTGAGATGGGCACTTAAATATATAACCCCAAATAATCAAAATAAGCCCCATAAGATTTAAGTAACACAATAGAAAGCCCATGTAAGTCTGTTCCGAGTAGAGATTGAGCATCCCCAAGTTGCAGTATACTTAGTCATTAAGACCACTACACAACCAGAACAACAACCCCCAACACTAAATCCCCCAATGAATCCCCAGAGTAGATATATTACCTGACAATCCCCAGCTCTAGTCATCTAGAGCAGAGTCCGAAAACAAAAAACATTTTTAGTAGTTTGTGAAACAAGAAAATTACAAATCAAAGCGCAAGTCACATATAACTAACCGATGAATTGATCAAATTTTAACCAACTATAACATGCAAAAGAAACAAAAAACTAATAACCGATGAATCGAACAGATTAGTAACTTGATAAGCGAATAACAAGCAATCGATCGAGACAATAATCCATTAAAACAAATTGTACAATAATCTAGCGCGGATGAGGGATTCGATGGCACGTATCACACCAACATTGTGGTCAAACATAACGGCAGTTGTCTGTACGTGCCCCCTGGTATCTTCAAGAGCACATGCAAGATAGACATCACGTGGTTCCCATTTGATGACCAACATTGCGAAATGAAATTCGGTAGTTGGACTTACGATGGAAATCAGGTAAAGTGGCAATCGACAAAATACACACAGCAAGAACAAGCAAACAGTAAAAAAAAAAAAAACAGCAACTAGTTCCAATAGTACAGTGAACGCTGGCTACACTAGGCTACACATCACATAAATCACACTAACACCCGAACTCCAACACATTTAAATCTCGAGCACGATCACGCTTCTGCCAATCACGAGACTCACGCACGAGGAACACGCGAGGGAAGTCCAACTTGCCGAGAGTTGACTGTAGCCATAGGAAAAGTATAGAGAGTATAGGATATTAGGGTTAGGACGGATTTGTAATTTCGTTTATATGCTTTTCAAAACTTCTATCTCTTGCTCTCTCTCTCTCTGTCTATCTCTATCCACCCGACTTATCTTCTAGTTTATGATTTGTTCGTTCGTAAACCTCATGTCGAACAATTCTTTGCGTTTTTGCGAATTACAAAACCAAAAGATCGCAGTGTTGTTAACAACACTGAACTGTAAGAGGTCCAGTGTGTAGGCTGAAATATTCAGAGCCCAGGTTATATCTGGAAAATTGAATATTTTACGCCCACACGCACACGATGAGCTTAGCTCAAATGGCAGCCGCTTCCAACACTGGCTTCTACCAGTGTTGGGAGAGTCCGGTTGGCCCTCGTAGTAAGTCTCCCAAAATGGAATCATGTGTGGAAGCCCTAGAATCTTTCAACGCAGAGAACTTCTGAAGTTTCAACTATTTTGCATGGTAGCAGGCCAAAACCACGCCCAAAATAAAACAGCAACAGGCGAATATTTTTGGACGACGTAAAGACTCTTAATGAAAGTCAACAAAAAATCACAAATCACATATATTGTAACTTACTCAAACTGAAGTACGTTTTGAGAACCAATTTAATTTACAGCGCTTTTATTTCCCACGTATTTTGCACCCACAAGATATTATCCACAAAACAATCTCAAAACAAATGAAAAGAATAAAACTTCTATATATTGCTCGCTCTCTATCTCTCTCTTTCGTACACCTCGAACACATGCTATATCTGTACATAAATGTTGTTTCAATGTGGCTTATTGTAAAAACTCTAAACAAATTTCAACAACAAACTAAAATCTTAAATGTTCTCTTTCTCCAATGAAAAATACGAAAACTCAAACTCAAAACTCAATGACCAACAACCAAAAAATAAAAAAAATACAAAAATATGTAAAAATTGATTTGCTTATTGCAAATTGATTTCCACTCTCTGTGAATACCCATGAAAAAAAAAACAATACAAAATATCGTTTGAAAATCAGTTGGATTTGGTTTTGAATTCCGAAGATGGAGGGGATCTTTCCGATTTCATAACAAATGGCGAGTGGTACTTGCTTGGTTAGTAAACAAACCTCATTATGCTTATTTCTCTAACTGTTATTTCGTTTGATCGTTGTCATTTGTAAATGTCTTATCAGCATAACCTCAATTGCAAAAGAAATCGCATTTACTTATTATTTAACACATTGCCTGCGATACCGAAAAATTGCTTCATAGACCATTATTATTTGCTTAGCTCTTTATTTCCTTAAACTAGTTTTACGATTAAATTGTACATATATTTACGATCTCGATCGCAAGACTAATCTGTAAAAATCTTTTGTAAATACATACGTGTGTCTTTGTGTCTGTACCTGTATCTATGTTTGTGTCTCTGTCTCGATCCAAAATATCCTTGCCCGAAGCTCACTAATCCAATTTTATCGTTCAGCCATGCCGGGAAAGAAGAATACAATAGTCTACGCCTGCTGCCCAGAACCATATGTCGATATCACCTTTACTATACAAATACGTCGCCGAACATTATATTATTTTTTCAATTTAATCGTGCCATGTGTGCTAATCTCATCGATGGCCCTCTTGGGCTTCACATTGCCGCCGGACTCGGGCGAGAAACTGACGCTGGGTGAGTATGCCAACCGGATCCCCTTGGTCCAAACACAGAACCACCTCACATACTATTTATGTACCAACCGATCTGAACTGTAATATCCAACTTTCTAAATGAATTTTGTGAGTTTTTCAGCGGTGATTCCCCTATTCCGAATTTTCCATGTTCGAATCTTTATATACATAGATGTCCGAGTTAGTTAGTTAGGCCCGGCAGGTTATCGAGTTTGGTGAGGTCAAGGGTCAAGCAGCAAGGGTAGCGAAATGAGGCTTAGCTGGATTTAATTATCAAAGATAAACCCTAAATCCCTTTAAAATCTACGTATTCAACGCTGCTTCTAACGATAGCCAGTCTATGCATGTTCTCTGTTCAGTTTTTAACTAAAAAGTAAAACTACTTTTATAAAAACCAAAAAAATCAAAGAGTGTTTTCTTTTTGAAACTTTAATTTTAATTTTAATTGTAAAAATCAAAAATACCACAAAATTAGCCTTCTAGGTTTGATATTTTAAACAACATAATTGCAAAACGGAAACACTCATCTTGTGCTACTAAAATAAACTAAAAGTCCCTGCTGTCCCGTGAAAAGTTTAAATAAATACCCCTTTTTAAACTCCATGAACCACCCATCCCAATAAAGGAGTCAAATAAACACCCAAAGCTGATGAGTAAAATGTGTAAAAGATGCCCTAATTTTGCAATAAATACTAATGATAAATCTTATTATGTAAACTTGGTCTTTCAGTTTTCCGATGTGTTTTGCGTTCGACTTTGATTTAAATTGCGTTTTATATTTATTGTATCTCTTGTTGCAGGCGTAACTATACTACTATCATTAACAGTATTTCTAAACCTTGTCGCCGAGTCCATGCCGACAACGTCGGATGCTGTTCCTCTTATAGGTACACACACACGCTAATTAAACCGATGTAGCTTAAAGTACGGACCGATCGGTCGAGCTATCGACCACTGCTAACTGTGGCGAACAGAAAGTCGTGCTGTGCTAATGCTGTTTTTAGTTAATCATTAGTTTTGCTACAGTAGTGCAATGAACTGAGAAACGAAAAAAAAATCAAAAAACTAAAACCAATACCAAGCCACGAATACTAACAAAAGATACCGATCAGAAACGAATACGAAATACCAATTAACTTAGCTCTCAACACTTCTGTAACTGTCTTCTGTCTCACAACCAAATACCCAAAAACACCCCAAAGTCTGGAAACCCACACACCAGATCCACTCCGGAACACCTCCACACGAATGAGGAATGATCAATAACTCCTATAACTCTCCGTATGTTTGCCATAGATCTATCTATATACTCTATGTACTCTCTGGAAACTCACTTCGTGTTCAACCACCGAACAACTGGATGTCGGATAGACTAGCCACACGTACTATATGTTAACCCCGAACACACCACTGCCAACACTGAACCACATCTCAGAACTCCTTTCCAAGTACCATGTAAAGTACTCAAGTCGAGCCCGAGGAACTCTCCCTCTTTCTTTCCTTCGCTTTTCTCTCGCTTTTCCAACTAACCTTAGTTTATGGTCTTGCCAGTCTTTTCTAATAATCTTTATTAACTACTCAATCCCATCTGGTTACCTCGGGGTCTCCGATAGCTTTGACATAATTGGTATTTGACCACACGACAAACACACACATCACCAGTCCAATCACAGCCACAATCACAATTACTGCCACAATTACAGCCACAGCTACAAGTACAAATACAATTAAGAGAGTTTTTCGTTTCGATTTTGCTGTGTTTGCCCAGAAAAAAAATAAGCAGTCCTATATAATTGGTTCCTGAGTTATTTTTGTCGTTTGGTTGTTGCTTCGTTTGTTCGATTGTTTGTTGGATTCGTTTGCTTATCTACGTGTGCCTCTAGCTGATCCCTTTGTTTCGATCGTATCGTTTCGTTGGTCTCTTCAGTTCTTAGCCTGCAAACCCCACCAATGTTGCAAATATATAAACCCCAACCGAGTAACCCCGATCATCCTGTAAATAAGCTTGTCCTTAGTGTGCCCTCGCCTCATAATCACACTAGGACGAGTCCTCCTCCCACACATTCCCTCCTTACGTCTAATCATCCCGACTCTGAAAGCATAGCAGCATTTCAAAAACCGCATCAAAAACGTAGACAGAAATGCAATTAAAGAAAATGAATTTTAAATCTAGCCACAACTGTATATATACACAAATATCTAAAAGAGAAACTATAAAAAATCCAACAAACCACCTTTTTTCGCTACCAAAAAAAAAAAAAGAAACAGATGAAATAGGAGGAAAACCAAAGCCAAAAAGAAACAGCAAACCAGAAACAAAAAACCAACTAACTAACTTACAAAAAGCCCAACAGCTGAGTAAACCAGTTTTTCATTTTTTTGGTGCATTTCCTTGGTCCCGTCAGACAAAAACATCAACAAACCATAAATAGAACAAGAGTGAAAGTGGTGGAAGGATTGTAGTGTGATTGGACCGAGGGCAGGCAGCCGCAGTTGAGGTCCGAGATTCAGAGTGCCAAAAAAGCGTACAAAAAGCACTTACATTCATGTCCCGCGCTGTTGCTGTCAGTCCTTGGAAATCCCATCGGCCTTCTACCCCTTTCCTTGGTGGCCAAATCGAATGTCAGTTGCAATGGCCACCACCAAAGACCTTGGAATGCTACCACGTAGAGTCACCAATTTCGTATGCCTGTTATAAGTTAGTGAATAGAACCGCTCTCGTAGAGGTTTGTATGGCGACTGGAGAGAAGTTTTGATACTTGGCTTGGTAGAGAGGAGTAGCTAGCTAGGCCAGAACTCGTCATACTCGTACCTCCCCCGAGCACACGAATCCTGTTACCGTAGAGGCCTCGCGGTAGGTATAGCTAAACCAATCAGTTTGTATCGCTAGAGCTGTACAAATATGCCTTTGGGCCAGTCCGGGGCTGCCCTCCACACTAAGCATCTATTTTAACCATATGACTATTTATATATATTTCGACACCGATCACCCACAATACCGAACACTGTAAATAGACAACACGCCGAACAGACGTAAGTACACCGAACCACCAAAGAACCACTGGTCCCCAAAACAAGAACAACACCACCGAACCACCCACGAAAAGAACAACCAGAACTTTTGTCGAACGCCGCCACACGAGCGCATGCTACTCAATAAAAAAGAGGCTATATAGATCCTAAAGCAATCCAACGCTTTACACCTTCTCAACACTCTGTCTTATACCTCTTTCGCTCTCGCTCTTTCAGTATATATACCAGTTTGTCAATACCCATATAGCTAATATATCTCTCTCCTTCTTGTTCCGGCAAGAACCATTTGAACTTGCACCTACTTGCTCGCAAGAAACGAATCGAATTCTCACACCAACAACCAAAACCAACCAACCAACCCAACCACTAACAACACCAAACTAATCTAGCTCTTCTTGCTCAACAACCTGGAAATGTATCTAATATATAAAACGCAAAAACCAGTCATTTGCAACCCGTAAACTCCTGGCATCTAAACCGAACCCTCGAACCATATAGAACCGTAGCGCTAAACGAATCTCCACCTAAACGATAAACCCTAAAAGAAACCAAAATCGAAGCAACATTTGAACTTGCATTTATGCAGATCCATTTGATCAGATGGTAGAGTTGCAACTCCACATAATATCGTATCGTTCATGATGTCGAGCCCATCATGCGTTCATATTATGTCATGTATTTATATATATTAACCCGTTCCGATACCGAATCCATAATATTCCGTAATACCGCCTTTCCAACCTCCAAAAGCCGATGTAGAGAGAGACTTGACAAATCATTTGCATGCGATGTGCCGAATTCCCATCTTAATGCCCATTTAGGCGCGGTCTTCGCTCTCGCTCCCACTTTCGTGTCGTCTCTTTCTTCGTGGCACGTAGCAAATTAAATGAGGCGCGCATGTGGGCGTGGCAAATTGGCAACACGTAGCGCAAGTGTAAAAGGGGGTGAGTCGGGGGGCGTCTTCAGTCGACTTCCAGTTCAATTTACAAATATTCCGAGACCAAGAAAAACTTGCGCTACTTTCAAAGTTTTTCCTGTCCCTCCTTTTCCTTTTACTAATGGGTCAAAGTTGGAAGGATGGGTCCATCACGCCCCCCTAACCACTAAGCTCTTGCAAAGTTGGAATGTTTTTTGTAAAACAAAATTAATACCCAAAGATGTTGCGAACATTTTGTGCCCATTCTGTCGGTTCTAAGCGACATAAAAGGAGGAATACCTTCAGAGATTTTTAACCTTAGACCATCTCATTGGGGATAAACTTTGAGAGAGCATCCCTGCTTTTTATATATATGTGTATATACCCTTGGCCAACTCCCTCCCCCCTTCCAGGCCCCGATTTCTGTTGGACCCGATTCGACTTTTGAGTTCGCAGCATACTCAGGCATATACTCATTCACACTCAAGCACACTTCATTCCGAGATCAAGATCAATGAAACCGATAAATGCTAATTCTAAATAGCCAACAAAGAAAAAAGATCCCGTCTTCTATCTCCAATTCGTTCGGCCCGAAAGGCGCTGCGGAAAACCAAACCTCGAACAGATACAAAGATACAGAACCTATACTGCCCAAATACTGAACCCAAATACCTCCCCGAAGTCCTCGATATGTCTACGAAAACACGAGTACACGAACACACACGCCACCAAGGATACAGAAACACTTGAACATACATAAACGTACGCTTTTTGATTTCCATTTTGATTGTGTCATTTGTTTTTGTGTGGTTGTTATTGTATTTTTCAAAACGAAAACGAAATTCTTTTGTTTCAGGAGTTACAATTCTTCTATCGCTCACAGTGTTTCTCAACCTTGTAGCTGAGACATTGCCCCAAGTATCTGATGCAATCCCCTTGTTAGGTAGCGATTGCATTTAAAACATACTTACCAAATGCAAATATATATTCAAATTTGTCAAAACAAAACCAAAGAATAATTAAAAAGTACTTAATATGATTTACACGTACACGCCTAAAGATATATATGTATATATCGCCGTATATATACATATATATGTAACTACATATATATATTCATGAATATTATTGTTATTGTTGTTACCTATATATATACATATCTATTACGATTATATTACTCACACACATTGCTAAATTGTTCGCATATATAATCCCCAAACAAACCAAAGCCAAAAAGAAACCAAACCGAACTTAAACTTAAATAAAGTATTAGTCTAACCAACCAAGTCAAACAATATCCAACTCTAAAGTGACAAAAGTTGTTAAATGTTATTTGTGTACGTCGTACTATGTTTACTAATTACAACAACTTTGCTAAGTACTTACTAACTAAACCAAACCAAACTAAACCAAATCAATTCTAATTCCAACTCGTTCTCTCTGTCCCACCCTATCTTCTGAATCGTTCTGAACTTGAAGTTATAATATCAAATACAAATATATATCAATATATATCGAAGCAGTTTCTTAGTTGATCATACTATCTTCTGTTGCCTCTATATCTCTCTCTCTATCACTATGCCTATATCCTACTATATATTCATTTGAACAATCAACAATCTTTTTGGTTTGCTTCTTATTCAAGTCAGCGTAGATTAACAACAAATCCCCAGCTAGCCAGCAAAGAACACCAGTTAGGCAGTCTTTTAAATGCTATCGTTATCTATATGTACTTCCGATCTATACTTCCTTCACTTCCGTTTCAACTTTCTCTTCAATTTCTTCCTCACAGCCTCGTTGAAGCTCCAACGATGCCGCACCAATGATCAAGTTCCCTTCAATATATATATACTCAATTCCCTGAACTAAACCGGCGATGCGTTAGTGATGTACTAGATTAACTTCCATTCAAAATCGATTCGAAAAATGAATTCCAAAATTTAAATTTTAAACTCTATCTAATACATCGAAGCGTCGCCTTGGCAAGTTCCTTCTGTAATTATTCAACTTGTGCAAAAATAAATATATACGATTATGTATACAATATTTTCGAACTATATAATAACTGTTATGTATTGCAGTACACCTTGCTTGTACTCTTTTCGCTTCGTTAAAACCGCCACTCCCTAATTTCAACCCATATGTAATTACAAAAGATACTTATGAGACAGATTTCAATGCAAGTGAGTTTGGGATAATACTTGTGAAAAGAAAACGAAGGCGCATACAAATATGCTAAATGATGTCGTCGTCACAGACACTCAACCGAAAAAAAATAAAGAAAGAAATCAATTAAAGAAAAGAAAGAAAGAAGTTTTTTGTCTTGTATCGTATGATTTGACTTTTTTGCTAACAGCTTTGATTTGTGTTTGATTTGGTTCTCTCACTCTCACTATCACTATCACGCCACCCAACTCACTCGTTCATGAATAGATAATCGAATTTTGCATTGTTCCACCATCACCGCCACAAAATAAGAAGATATATTTTTCACCCTCGGTTTGCCCATGAGTACTGCCACCATCTTGAAGCTCGTTCTCGTTATCGTTATCGTTATCGCTCGCTCACCCATCACACAGAAAACTCTCAGTCATGACCACGACCACCCACCAACTACCCACCACCCACGAACCACCACCCACAAGAACCACCCACACACGCTACTTTAACTTAACTTTCTTAGCTATTGTCTGTGCCACCCCACCCATCCTAAATCCCGATCACATTCGTATACCCCCCTCTTTGCGAACTCACCTTCGATATACTGTTTGACCCATTTCTCGGAATGATATTTTTTGCTCGAGAACCTTTTTGAGAACTCAAACTGTGAACGAAAACATTCAAATTCCAATTGAATAATGTCTTATGTAAATACTGATCGCTCGATTAAACATATCAAATCTGGTATTGCAAAAATATCATTTCGTTGAGATCCGCTTATTTTGTTTGTTTGTTGAAATGGGTCGCGGATTCGTTTGCTTACAGATAAAAGATATAACAACTACCCACTTTGAATGCACTTCCACCACCAACAATCAAACAACGAATAAATCAAATTATGCTTAAAGATCGGGTGGTCTTTTGTGATTATGGTTAAGATGGGTTGTGTTCTCTGCGAGAAGGTTCAGCCAAAAAATATCATTTAGTCTAACCCCGAAGCTTTACTAGAGGCGAGCACCGATCGACTTTGATCGCTAGCTCTACTCTGAATCCCAATCCTGATTTCCCCACTCAATTAGAAACCGAAGACACTGGGACCGAACTTTAGAACGACAAAGACTCCAGCGATTGACGAGACTCTTCCCGATCCACATACACACGAGATCTGACCAAATTTGACAAAATATTTTACAGGTGTCACTATACTACTGTCGCAAACAGTTTTCTCCCTGCTGGTCGGCAATGTCATTACGAAAACCAGCGAGGCTGTACCGCTCTTAGGTATTCGAACTTTCAATTGACTCGTTTGTAACTTTGAGTTTATCATTTCGAAAAAAAATATAACAAAATCAACATCCAACCAAACTAAATTTAAATTTTAGAGCTTTAAAAACAACCAAAACTTTTCTCTCTTTTAGATGATAAATCAAAAAATGAATATCAAAACCAAAAACGATTGTACAAAGTACTCTATAGACATAACGAAAGTTTGCGCTAAAAATCAAAGTGAATCTTGTAAAAACCAAACTAGACCGACTAAAGTAGGTAAAAGAATGTTAAGCGATGGAGAGCATGATCCAATTCCAACTGGATAAACACGCGTTGCAGATGATGAACTAAGAGTATTTTTGGAACCCAAGCCCGAACCCAAGAACTAACCCGAACCCAACCGAACAACCTCTGCTTCTTTAGACTTTTGGCTGAACCTCTTTGACTCTGAGACAAGCTCCAACTAACACGATAACCACACTTGATTCTATCCCGATTCTGTTTCCGACTTTGGGTTTGGGGGTGGCCTTGCTTTGCTTATCCACCCACCCGCAAACCGGAAATGCTATGTACATATTTAATTCTACGCTATAGGTAATCGCAATTAGCCAATAGGCGTTGTTCCTCATACCCAAGTATCAAAAGCCTACTCAAAACAATGAACTAATTAAGCCGACTATTAAATTGTTATTAAATATTCAGAGAGCATACAGTAAACTGCAGAAACGCTAAATCAATCGCAAACACATAATTCGTTCGCTAAAGCAATTAAAATATCGATTCCTAGCATTCTCTAGAACAAGTTTAAAATAACTAACCCAAACACGAAAAACCGATGAACCCAGCCCACACCAAAATTGCTTGCTGTTCGTATTTTATTAGAGTAGAAAGAGCAAAGAAAAGTAAAATTAAACAAAAATGGTCTCATTCCAACTTGCCGAAATTGTTTTTTTTAAGGAAAACGTTGAATAAAACTAATATCTTGAAATGCCTTGAAATGTATTAACGTTTTGTAAAGCAACGGTTTATTAAACGTAAATATATCACAAATTTGTACCTAAAAAATTTTTGAAAAAATTCAAATTTGTTTTCAAATTAAGCGATTTATTATATTTAATTAATTTAAGAAATTTAAAACAATTACAATCATGAAATATAAATAATTTGACTGTCCTTTGCTCAAATTTCGTCCTTAATTGCCAAAGCAAAACCCTCGCATGTTCCCCAGTCAAAACAGTTTGCACTAAACTGCATGATAAAGAATGAATCCTAAAAGTATTGAGTGAACATCAAATATAGTGGCTTTCATTAGACATTACTTAGTAGCATACACAAAGTAAATTAATATAGAGTAAAGTAACATAGTCACGGCATTGTAACAACACAGTAATTTTATCACGCTACTTTCTCTAATCGTAAATCTAACAAAAGTCTTTCATGAAATGAAGCTAAACTAAAGTAATGTTGTACTATTTTTGTAAATTATAATTTCAAGCTTATGTTCTTAGTGTTTCGATGATTTGAAGAGTCCCTTGAGCACCACTCTAATATAGGGTTTTTCTCTGCTCTCTGTTCACCCCACAAACCGCAACTCGCAACCTGCAATCCCAAAAAACCCGCACCATCCTTAAATAGGCACCTACTTCAACTGCATCATGTTTATGGTCGCATCGTCGGTGGTGTTGACAGTAGTGGTGCTCAACTATCACCATCGCACAGCGGACATCCACGAGATGCCACCGTGGGTGAGTTAATCATATCAAAGCACTCCCACTGTTCCCCGCCTGATTTTTGCCTCCTCGGTTGCCAGATTAAATCCGTTTTCCTACAATGGCTGCCCTGGATCTTGCGGATGGGTCGACCAGGCCGCAAGATCACACGCAAAACAATACTACTAAGCAATCGCATGAAGGAGCTGGAGCTGAAGGAGCGCTCTTCCAAGTCCCTGTTGGCCAATGTCCTCGACATTGACGACGACTTTCGGCACACAATATCAGGCTCGCAGACCGCTATCGGTTCGTCGGCGTAAGTCATTAACTTTGTATTATCATAAAGCTCTGATTAATCCGTTTTGCATATGCACCTTTGCAGTAGCTTTGGTCGTCCCACAACGGTGGAGGAGCACCACACGGCCATCGGCTGCAATCACAAAGATCTTCACCTAATTCTCAAAGAATTGCAATTTATTACGGCGCGCATGCGCAAAGCTGACGACGAAGCGGAATTGATTGGCGATTGGAAGTTCGCGGCAATGGTTGTGGATAGGTAGGTTCAATATCATTGCATCTTTCCGCTGATACAAAAAAATATTAAGTTAAAAAATATTTATCTTAATGTGATAATGTGATAAAAAAAAGTGTTTGGAAAACCAAATTAGGGCTACTTTGAAAGTACTTTTATCTCTATTTTAAAACCACTAAGTCCTGTAAAACAAAATCAAGAGCATTTTCGTATTGATTTTAAGAATGTTTTTTCTCGAATAAGTGAGAAGCTGAATTCCCCATTGAATTTGGTCTTGACTTTTTATAAAAAAATTTTTCTGGGTAAGATCTTCCTTATCATCTATCAATTAGGCTTTTTGTAAACTATTACAAACATTTAATCAAGACGTTTGTAGGAAAAAAAACGTTTAAATAACATTGAGAGCGTGGTTTAGTAGTTTGATACTTTGCAGCAGCCATTATCCGCAATGCTCACACGATTATGGACTTCAAGATATGTACTCCTGATTGGGTGTGAACTTATTGAACCAGAGCCGGCAGCTTTCGACAGTCGCCTGCCTGGCAAGTCAAACAATTAGGCCACACGACTTCCGGCGGAATGAACGCACACAGTCGCAGACGCCCACGCATGCACACAGACACACACGCACGCACAGTCACCCATACACGTGGCGCAAATATTGAAAGATGGCCGACTACCGGTCGGACGCCATTTTGTTTGGCGGGCCTGCTGATTTGTTTGCTAACGCTCTGCTTACTCTTCTACTCCACAGATTTTGTTTAATTGTTTTCACGCTCTTCACGATTATTGCAACGGTCACTGTGCTGCTCTCGGCTCCGCACATAATCGTGCAATAAGGACGCTCGAATTAGACAATTAAGCTACGGATATGGAAACGTCTGCGGATGGGAGATGCCTAGTTAAGTTCTTTTTTGAAAAACCAAAAACTAGCGAAGCTGCTTCGAAACAAAGCAAAAAAAAAACCACAAAAAAATAATACAAATAAAAAATTGTTAATTACATTTTTAAGTAAAACAAAGAGCAAAGAAATGTCGCAAGAAAAAAAAACAGAAACGAGACAAATTCATGTACTAAAAAATATTTTATGGACAAACCAAACAAAAAAGCAAAAATTACTGCCGTACAAGAACCGAAAAAAGTGTTAAGTAAGCTACACACTCACACACACACACACAAAATTATAAGAATTAAGCGAACAACAAGAAGTGAAACAAAAATTTGCATAGGAATAGCCAAAAGAAAGTTGGTGGAGCAGGACGAGAAGAACAACAAAGGAACATCGCGGGACAGGACACACAAGGGTTACATATGTATATGTAAGCCCACTGACACAGACAGACCCATCACATACATGTAGGTAACTGTATGTACAATAACAGAGTTATAAGTTAATTAATATGCTGAGTTGATATAATTTATGTACGACGAACAGACGACAGACACACACACACACCTACATCTAAGATATATGATATATATATGTAAGAGATTGTTCCTATGAGACATTAGATATGTATTTAAAATGGCAACACACTCACGTACAGAGACACACAGACACTGAAGCACTTAATTGACAAATACAAAAACAAGGGAAAGAATCCATTTATTCGTAGGATAGGACGAAAACAGGAGAAGGACAGAAGATTGGGGGTATACGTTATGGTCTGATGACCCTTTGTTGTCTGCATTTTTAAGCTATAATATTTTCCCTTTCCGTTTTCATTTTGGGATCACGTGGACCAACAATATTTTGTTTGATTTCCTTCATTCCAGTTTGCAAACAAAATATGATCCCAATGAAGAAACTTTTACGAAAACCTACTTTCGTTCGTATCCAATTCCGATTAAATTCTCACTTCCAATTTTATGTGCTTTTATTTTTGCATCCGTTGGAACGCTTTCAAAGAGTTGTTTGCAAGATAGATTGTAAATGGTAACAAACTGACACATAATAATGGATATTACAAAGGTCTATATATACATACATATACTCATAGTGAATTGAATTAATTTTTAAAAGACGCATTCACGAACACATTGAGGAAGTATGTTCGTTGAACATCATGTTTTTAGAAAATTTATTGTTGAAATATTGTAGCAAATTGAGTAAGCATAAAGACAAACGACCCGAGGGCGAAACAACCGAGTTATAGTCACCAATTAATTAGTCAAAGTAATAAACGGAAATCGAAAACCAGAGAAACCAAAAAACCGAACTAGCAATACAAGATGAACAGGTGTATATATATTTTATGACACATATATCACCGCATATATACATACACATATATATATGGATATATTTTTAATAAATCGATACGGAAACGAGCAAAACTAAAGACACTAAGCAGAAAGGAGAAGCAAAGCGGCGCAAGAACATAACCCCACTAAGCCAACCAACCAACCCAACTCAATGCCACTCGAAATCACATAAAAGAAAATCACAATTTTGTTGGAAATTTCGCATAGTTTTTGAATGATTTCTCTCTGTCTATATCTATGTATATCCCGGTGTATTCCTAGAAACGAGCTTCGAATTTTTTCTACTTTACTCTGCTCTCCCCTTACACAAAGCAAAACAGTGATATTTACGGTATAGCCCCCAAAAAGACGAACTCAAACTCGAACACTCTTTCCGGAACCCACCTAAGAAACCTTTAAACGTGAATGTTTTCTACACAAAAACCAAAATCAATGAAATACCTACCTCCTTGTTGAAAGAGAAGAAACGATAATGATTGAAGGACGAAGAAGTATAGCAACACTGCCGAGTTAATCGCACTCCTCTCTCCCCTTGCCGAGTAACCCTGCCCCAATTTTTTTACGTTGTCCTGCCAAAAGAGAATTTCTAACAGAATTGTGTGACGAACAACAAGCTACTTTTGATAGCCAGACGAAAAGTTTACTTAACGGAAATAAGATCGGCCCTATAGCTACACCCGCTGTCAGAATGTCAGAAGGAACCCAATCGAGTGCTGAATCAACTGAAGGAACTGCAGATCAGATCTAAGCGTTATATGTGTATACACTCACTTTGTATGTTTTATTTGCATTTACATTTAAATTTAGATTCGATATTTGATATGAGACGACTTTTACTTACGCCCAGAGCGATGCATAATCCTACCGAAAACTGCTCTGTCCCCATGAGGTTGTTGTTTTTCGAACGTTAGCCAAATTCGAGGGCGAATATTCCAATTCAAAATCCGATTGAAATCGATATTGAGATCTTGAGTTTAAGTATCAGTGTGAGGAAAATCCGCATCAGAATCTGAATGCTTATAATATGGAGAGATAGAGTTGAGGAGGGTGTGTGCATTTTAAATTTAATTTTTTTTATAATTAATTTAGTGCTAATCTTTGAGCAGCTAGGCGCATAATTAGAACTATGTATATGTGTATGGATGTCTTTTTGATAAAAAGAAGCTGTTTTAAAAAGCAAACCATTTTCTACACTCTTTAAAAGATTGAACTCTACATGTACGAGATTATGTATAATACAAGTAATAATAAAATAGCGTTAACTAGGCAATTATAAAAATGAGGTGACCTGCAGAAGGAGCCATAAACTAAGCGTCCTACATTAGGAGAGGGCAACCTACGCGATTACCCGAGATAACGATATAATGAGATAACGACGGGTGGCAAGAAAAAACTAAAACGATAAACGAATTTAAAAATGAAAATGAAATTACCGCGAAAACCAAACTTGTAGTAAAGGAACATGTTTTTTCATTTGAAAACTCTACTACTTACTTACTTACTTTGCAAGTAATAACTAATTTCCTCTGATCAGAGTTACACGCAATCGCGAAATGCAAAAAGCTAATTACAAAACGGTTGGTACACGCCCACACACACAGTCAGACATGAAGCATTCGAATTGTTCGTATTGTATTACAAAAATAAAGAAATCCGAAAAGCAAACCGAAGAGTTCGATTTTCGTTTCAATTGCACTCCGCATGTTCATCCCCAGGGCAATTAAACAGAGTTCAACAATAAATAGCGCATTAAAAACCGATTCGAGACACTTTTTTAAACAAGGCAAATATATTTAAATTTAGCATTTAACTAAACGACAAGAAAAACTTAGTCTATAAACTGCAAATGTTTAGCACCAAACTCACCCGGGCAGAAACCTACAAGCCATCCCGAGTCCAAATCCAAATCCAGACCTCCGCCTGTGTCCCAAGTCTAACTACCATCAATTTAAATAGCTATTTGCATAATTATTAAACCGTTACTGAATTTCTGTCGATTGCCAAACGCAAAAAAAACCATAAAATCTTCCCAAAAATTATGCATGTAAAAAAAATGGCTAAAACAGAAAGAAAAAGAAAAAATTAGCAAGAAGTCTGTTGTCGATAAGTATTATTGGCAGACAAATAACTTTCGTCACATTGACGATAATAATTAATTGTAAGCGAAAAACAAAGGAATTAAATGATTTAAATAATAAACAAATTAATATTAAAAATCGAGAGACATGATTGCAACAAAAACACAAAAACTGAATAAAAATTTATTTTGAAAAGAGAATTAAAAGGAAGAGTGGTTTTTCTTCCGAATTTTCAGGTACAGATTTAAGTAAGACAAATACGTCATGATATTTTAAGAAGTACTCTTAAATAAAATTGACCAACAAAATAACAGCACAGTTTGAAAATTAGTAGGACCGCAAGTCGACCGTTAAAATAGTGAATGATAAATACTAAAATATACTGCACAGATAGATCGAAAGAATCCGATACTTTCAAGCAAATATTATCGATGACAGTTTGTTTTTGTTTTGTTTAGCTGAGGATAATACTAAATAATTTTTTGTATTGCTTATTGCCAGCAATTCAATCAGTAAAAATATCAGAATATCAACTAAACATTCAAAGGAGTAGACGACACATAAATATAATCCAAAGGACTTCCAAGTTTAGGCCTAAAACCACCTGTCTTCGTTAAAATTGCAATGGACCTGCGGAAGTTGTGCAGGATATGCTTTGTAGACAGCGCTGCGGTGGACATCAGAGAACACAGGAGCAGCGGCAGTTCGGATCACACAGTCCTTGAGCTGATACAGGCCATGTTCGGTTGGGTAAGATCATAGAAGTGGGCTTAAATCCAATCATAACACACAATCTCCTTCAGGATTTAGCCCTGAATCTAACTGAGGAGCTTCCTATGATCTGCAATATATGTCTGGAAGAGTGCCAGCAGCACTACGCCTTCTTCCGGAAGCTCAAGTTCGCCAATCAGCAGCTCCTTCAGCTCTACAACGAAGCGGAGGTGGAGATGTGCCAAGATGTGGAAGTTTTAGAGGATCTTAAGGAGCAGCATAAGCCTGAAGTGACTGAGATGGCTGGAGGAGAAAATGAGGAATGGGAGGAGTTTATACCCCTGGATATTATAGTATTAGAACCCGATCATCTGACCGACACAAAACCAACTGAGAAAATAGTCGACACCGTGCCAAAACCCTCACAGAAGCTGGCCAATCAGGACTCGCTTATCGTGTCCGAGTTTCTGCCCGCCACCACGACCCAACCGCGTCTGGATCTGTCCGACTCGCGGCTACAGCAACTGGAGCCACCTGCCTACGAAATGCGCACCGTGGACTACGCGGCTGTCGAACTGAAGCACTACAACCTGGACGAGTACAACGAGGCCAACCGCCTGCTGGACGTGGAGCCCAGTGGAAGTCAGGCCATCTACAAGTGTCAGTACTGCCCGTTGGCCTACGCCTCGCCCCAGTATCTAAAGACCCATGTGCGCAACTCTCACGTTTGCAAATACTGCACCACCGCCTTTTCCAAGGTGCGCGATCTCAACGAGCACATTCGCCGAAAGCACTCGAACCACCAGTGTGTTGTCTGCTCCAACAGCTTTAGCACCAGCAGCAACCTAAGGGCTCACTTGAAGAAAATCCACGGAGTTCAGCTACCCGCTCAGGTGGCACTGCTCGATTACAAGCCAGCATCCGCGGACCAGGACAGTCCTCGCACTTAATAAAGTGGACTTATTCTTACACAATTTTAAGACTTTTTACTTCCTAAATATTGTAGTCTAAAATGTCTGGGGACGTGGTTCGTAAATTTACATTTTTACCATGTTACATTTTACATTTTTATAAGCCATTGGCTAGTTTATTTCCCAGAATAGCTGGGACTTTTCTCTCACAGGATCTCCTTTAAGTATGTCTTCTCCATTAATGTACATGGGAGTAAACTCCCTGTAGGCTATGCAAACACGTCGCTCCTGAACATCCTCGCGCAGCACAGAATGCTCGAACTGGTACCTCGCTGGTCCATACAAAACAATCAGGGAGAGGCTAAAAAGCAATAACGGGCTTAGTATGACAATGTGTAGTGTATAATATCTGAGCTTACTTGGGCATAGGAATGCGCAGAACCTTTCCCTCATATTTGGCTAGCTCGTCTTCACTTAGTAGCGGCGCCAGAAGCTCCTTCTCGTAGTGGGACACCAAGTCCAGATTATACTTGCCCGGTTGCTGGACTTTGAAGGGAGTGAGGGTTAGCACGGCGTCGCCAAGGCAGTTGACGGTGACCACGCGTTCGCCCCAGATCCAGCAGTCGTCAACGTGAGGATCTATACTGGCTCCTTTGCTGGGCTCGTACTCCAGGGAGCACTGTTCGATGGTCTGGAAGTTACGAAGCAGAGGAACCTCATCGAAGCGTCGCTGCACGTACTCCGTTGTTCGGGGAAATCCAGCAAAGGATCCAACCTGGAGTTTGCGCTTCTTAAAGTTAGTCTTGGGTCCGAAGTTCTGTTTGCGCCGTCCGCTCTGCGAGATGTCCCAGGGCAAAGCGTCCAGGTCGGCCAATAGCTGAGAGCCCTCCTTCGCGGTGAGGAACTCCTCTTGCACCAGGATTCCCGGCAGAGGAAGGCCCTCTTCCTTCTTGTGATCTCCATGGGCTCCTTGCACCTTGGTCGTATCCCAACCGGGTTGTAGAAGTTCGCATTGCACGCAATAGGACCAGGATTCCAGTTGCTGGAACTGCTCCTGTAGCGAGGGCTTGGCTATCTGAAAGTCCTGTTCGCAGCTCAAACAGGTGCGCACGCCCTTGCAACCACAAGGACGGATTGTATTCATCCTGGAAATTGCACCAAAACACGCTAGTAATAGAGATGGATTAAAATCGATATTTATTTATATCGGTTAGTCTCGATGAATTAAAAAAATACCAAAAACTAACAGCTGTTTATTGCAACAGCTTGCTGTTAAGTGGCTTGTTGGCGGGCTGTTACCCATTTTAAATTATAACAGTAGATGCTATCAGAACCTTTTCTGGCCTTTCATAAGTAATTTTTAAGTAATAATTTAGATACATTTTTTTAAGGACATAACCATATTTTTAATTTTTATTCTCTTCTGTTCGGATTTTTTCCTTTTGATTTAATTATTTGCTTTCTAGACTCATACATTTTTAATATATATTTTGTTGGCTATTTATCGATGATGGTAATGCATGATCAATTGTAACTGCACAAATCTTCCCAGCTATACAATAATGAAACGACCCAAGTTTAATTTTCTTAAGATATTTTATTTCTTGTGTTCAGGTTTAGATTGCTTTCCACAAATACTTAATTTAAACCTGTTTCAATCAAACAAATGCTGCTTGGTGATCAATACTAATCGTTATTTTCTTCTCCAGCTAGTCTTACACTTTCTAATGGTGCCCGAGCTGAGTCTAGGTCTTTCCAATATGGAACAAGATAATAATAATAAGCTCAGCCCGGGCGATGCGATGAATCCTTTTTTTTCTTTACAAATGGAGCTTGGGTGATCAGTCTTTTGGTGCAGATCCAGCTGCAGGTGCAATCGATCTATCCATTAGATTTTAAGGCAGCCGCGATGGGAGCCACAGCGGGCGTAAACCTCCTCGAAGGAGCGGATGAGCTCGTCCATTCCGCGGAGCAGTCCCTCCTCCCGATTTCCTGGAGTCCAGGGGCTGCGGTGGTCTACCCTCACCTGAGGCGGCAGTTCCCGGCACTTGGCAAAGTCAATCAGCCACACGCCAACGCGGTCATCGTCGTAAACGATGAAGATGCTGGAGCCAACGATCTCGTGGCGGGCAAAGAAGGACGACTGCTCGATGACCAGGCGCATGTGCTTCAGTCGCTTCAGCAGCTCCTTCTGCACGGATCGCCGTGCGGCCAGGAACTGTTCGATGGTCTGGCCAATCTGCTCGCTAGTTCGGCAGGTCTTCAGATCCTTGACAGGCGGACGTCCGCGCAGGCGCAGCGCTTCGATCCGGAAACCCTTTGACTGCGAGGAGGAGAGCGACTCTCGGAAAGTCATGTAGCGCAACTTGGTAATCGCCCGTGCCTCGTGCTCCGCCGGCGTGGGAGCTCCCGCATCCACGGCGATCATCTTCTGGTAGAGATCTGGTCGCAGGGTGGCATTGCTGACCTCCGATTCGAGGAAGGTGCGGCTGCCCATCTTGATGTCCATCACACACGGATCCCGGAAGCCCGACAGCAGATCCTGCAGCTCGATGTAGTGCTGCCCCTGCATCTCCTGTATGCCAAAGTAGGCGGGTACTATCTGAGCGGTCTGTGGCTCCTGGCAGATCAGTCGGTAGGCATGGACCTCGTTGTCTTCAAGGCCCGAGATCCTCTTCCGCACTATTCCGGTGGACGTGGGAACAATGCTGAAAAAAGGAAAAAGGTTTACAGTTAATAATATGAATGAACTCTGCTTAAATTTCTTTATATAGCAAGACTCTGCATTAACCCAAATTACACAATAAATATATGGTTTTAATATTTATCAAACAAAGAGCAGTTTAAGAGATAAAAACTTAAACCCGATTGGAACATTTCCCCTTCAGAGTTGATAAAACATATACCAATGACCCCTGTATCTTTTTAGATGCTTACCTCTCTGGGTGACCGGAAAGCTGCATCCAACCCTTGGGCTTTGCCTGCGTCTGAGTCTGCTGGTGCTGGAGGAGATGTGGCGTTGCTGGGGCACTCAACTCTAGGGCATTCTGGAAACAAAAGAAAAAATGATCTTAGTACAGAAGGAGTACGAATTCATTGATAAATCGGCGTTTTATCACAGCTGGGAACGGGTTTAAGGCGCTCTTTCGCCAGTGCGAAACATTACTGTCCAACGCCCGGCTGCGATTATAAATAATGAAACAAATTTTATTTGCCAGCCCGAGAGCCACGCCCCAAGCCTCGTAAACGTGAAATTTATGCAGGCAGTGCGAATTGCCAGGCCAACGGATCGCGAATTGACCGAGGCTTCGAGCAGGAAGCTTTGGGGTTGCTCTGGTGGAAAGTTTCTGCCCAATTGACATGACATGTGGGTAAACAACGGGTACTTACAATGGCCAAGAACTTGAGCAGGGACATCTGGGCAGGGGCCGCGGTTGGGGCCTGAGATGGGATGTGATTCTTCTGAGCCTGGGCCGCTCTTTGTAGACTCAAATAGTCGGCCAAGTTGTCGCAGTTCTCATTGGGTATGCGCTGCAATGAGAAAGATGGAAAGGTCTATGGTTAGTTGACAAGTAAACAAACAGTCAAATAAAACTATTAGCACCTAAATGTTATTGAAAACTTTCAATTGCATTCTATGACCAACTGTGACTCACGAAGGCGTTAATTAATTATTCAAGCCGAATGCATTGGCAAGCGGCGAATAAGTTCTAGGCGGCCCCCTTTTTGTTTATGCTTATATAAAAAAAGACGGAGCAGCTTGATGGGTCGTCGTGTGTGGTTTACGACCGATCCCCGGCACTGCCGTGTCCCTAATGAGGCACTTAGTATGCAAAGTTGGCGTTTGTTTTTGTGCTGCCTATGCGAATTGAGCCATAAGCATTGGCCATAACAAATAACGACCTGTCAGCGTAGAAGGCGATCCAATCCAATCCGATAAAATCCGTTCCGAACCGATCCTCACTCCTCACTCTGCCGCTTTGATTAATTGACTAATTAAGGTAAATGCCTCGGAACTTGTTTATGCCCCGCTTCTTATATAGCTTCTGCTCTTGTTTTTTTCACTATCTCCCCACTATTATCGTATCTTAACTGCCCAGATAACGCTGCGTCTTTTTTACAAGGCAGATCCCTACCAACAGCCGTAATCTTGGGTTAATAGCATTGCTCCGACTGCGAATCTTTACGTAAGAGTAAAGGCAAATTTGCATATGTGGCACAAATTCGTCACGCGTATCAAGAGGAGCGAGGAATGGGGTGCATGGCACTGCCACAGTGAACACCCGTTGCCAGGGTCATCGCTCCTTATCAGCTGGGGTATGGTATGATCTCGGTCTTATCATTTTGCGGCAGTTAGCAGTTGGCAAATGTTTGATTTGAGGGCGCAAATACCCGGGCTTACCCGCTAAAGCCCCCTGAAATGGGTTAGAGATAATGAATGGCGCCCCACGAGATTCTGCTGACCGCATAATTGCTTTGAATGTGAAATTTTAGATAACTAAACTTTATGGTAATAGGCCTCATTCAAACTCTTTGGCCTTCTCTGATCGAATTTCTGTATTGATGGCAAACCAAAAACCCCCTATTATGTATTAATTAGGAGCTAATAAGATGTCACATTCGTTTGAGGTGGGGCATACCGCCTATCAAATTCCATTAACCAATATTCGAGGTTCGACGATCGTGTCGTCAGCGCTGACCTTTATCGAGAGTTACACGTTACGCTTCGGAGTTAACGGGGATTTAATAATAGCAACGAGCGAACTAATCGACGTCAGCGGCTTTTATTCATTGACTACTTGTTTTACAACTGCACTTACTACAGATTGCCAACGAGCCCATTCCTACAATCGATCCAATATTCGCACATTTTTGCACGTACACCACACCTGAGTAAAATTAGCACATGGGCAGTAATTTGGATTAGTTTAAGTGCGTCATTCTGTGTGTGAATCTGGGCCTAATACTGAGCATTATTACTTCACTTTTATATGCCATTACATGTTTAATTATCTCATCGCCTGGACTCGGTTCACTCGTGTATGCAAACATCTGAGGGA